TGGCACTCGGTATAAATAGCTATCGTGGAAAACAAACGAGCAAAAATATGCATCTGTTAGAATAATGCACTAAAGCTGTTGCTTTATATCTTGACAATGCCGAGGATTTATTCGGGGGAACAATGTAAGTGGGAATGTGTTTTCAGCTGCTTGGAAATGTCATCACTTTGCCATGTCAGTTTTTGGATTTAAACCCGCTCAGATGATGTATGAATGCAGCGAGGCAACATGGCACACGCTAATTGACTGAGGCATATTGTGTGGATATTTTCTCCACTGATCCACTCTAGATCTTGAATACCAATCCTCGACTCCACACCCTCCTCCCCCTCCTCCTGCTTCTCTGTATAGTGTCAGCAAAGTCCGCCACTAAGATTCTTATAGACTTTAGCTCTGCCAAATATGCTTGTTAATATTCCCCATCTGGAGATCTCTTAAAAAATCTGATAAATGATGGCCGGGCCAACCACTGACAGTGGGCGCTGGCCAGCATACATCAGAGTCCAAAGCCCCCCTCCTGCTTTATAGAGGGCTATTAGAACGAGCTCCCAGGCAACAAACCATACATAGCAAATGTGCCTCTTTAGTAATATGATAATTTATAAAAGGCACCGAGTGAGACTGAGTGAATATTCTGCAGAATTCCCCCACATACTTTGCGCTTAATAGATGGTGTGTGTTATGCCTACTCTCCTCAGGACTGCACCAAATGTGGGAACTCCTGGGGATGATGGAGTGAAGGCCAACCTCAGCTTGACAGCTTTTAATAACTAATGAAAATACCGGAGGGTAAATTTGCAAAGAGAGGATTAGGGAGCTACTAGTGTACGGGAGGAGAAGAGAAGAAGAGACCGATCAAGAGAGGAATTTACAAAAAAAAAATAGTGACTGAGCTTTCCTCTGCCTATGGAACCTTGGTGAAGCTAAGACGTGGCACAAGCAAGCACACCGCCATGTTCCCAGCATGCATCACTCTAGGAGCTGATTGATCTGTGCTATTTGGGTTGAGTCGCATCTTGTTCCTTCCATATCAACACCAATCTTTGTCTCCATCTCTCCTTCTCCTCTGCTGTCTCTTTCCCTTGCTCTATTAACACAGGCTCCCTGCTGAGCTTCATATCTTAACGGAAAAGAAACACACACACACACATATACACACACGACGCCCTCAGCATCAAACACTCGGAGAACATTGATTAGGTTAAAATACAAAAACAGCCTTGGTGGTACTATACCTTCTGTCATCTTTGATGCCATGCTTCATTCATCAGACGCTACTGATGAAGACAGTCTTGTGTGCATGTGTGTGTGTGTATGTGTGTGTACATATCTAAGCATGTGCTTTGCTATGTCTCTGTAGCCACAGAGAATGCACAGTTGGTATGTAGTTGGCCGATACTCTTTCATGTAAGCCAAGAGAAGAATAGAGGAAACTTGTTCTGCTTTTTAGATCTGATTATCAGCCTTGTGTCAGACTTAAAAAAAAAACTTTAAATTGTTTTAATTTTGGGAATAGCTGTTTCTCTTTCCATTGTCATGCTGATTTTGTTGTTAACACCGTGTGTACGTTGGTAAATCAGAGTTATTCTAGATTGTCAGGTGTATGCCTGCTATCTGTAGTCAGCAGACTGCCATGCCCCCATCTTTCTATATAAAGAAATACATTTGCCCAGAGGTGTATCATGGAGAAAGTGGTGAAGTTAAGGTCCTCATGCACCAGTGTCGGGCTGTTTGAGTGTCTGAGTGTAATGGTGGTCAGAAGCAGCTGATAAGCTGTTCATCAGTCTCTTCAAACATGTTTAAACATGTTGGTCTCTGATACACTCTGTCCTGAAGGCACGGACTGCATCATCTTCCAGCAAGGTTAGATGTTACATTTTATCATCTGCTTAGAGGTAGATCAGAATCTTTCATATATCCTGTTAAAAATAATGTAATCATAATAATAATGACAATATTATTAATAAGCCTAATAATCATTTCATGGCACTAAGAATTGTTGGGAGTAGCCACCATTAGCCGACAGGCAGATTTAATAAAAACAATTGAAACCAAAACTGTTAATTGTCAATATGGACATTCTCGTAGACTCCACTGTAAGCTAGGGGACACCCAGTTGTTACAGTGGAATATTTTAATTCTGACAATAAATTGCATAGTGTTAGTTCAGACAGGACACTATGTCAAGCTCAGCTCACATCCCACCTACATCAGCTGATCTCAAACAGCCAATCAACTGATGGAGCAGCTGATTGATGGAAGGGAGTCAGCTGATAGATCACATGATTCCTTTCTATGCAACCAATTGGCGCATCTCATTCAGGGCGGCCTATTTAAACTGCTCTGGCCTGCCTACTGTTGCTGCATCCTCTGTAGCTGCTTTACAATGCGCCTCCACCCAGGTCCTCCTTTTCATGCTGTGTCTGACTTACCAATGTCATTTTTGTTTGTCATTGATGTTGCTCTCCCTGCCTTAGGCTTTCCATGTAGGCGCATGGAAGGGCAGGGAGGTTTGCTGTCTCTGCCTCAGGCTTTTCTTCTATGCACGTGGAAAGGCTCATGCTTTCCACTTAGGCGAGTGGAAGAGGCATTCTGTGTAGGCCAGAAGAAAGGCAGAGGGGCCCCAGAACAGAGCCATACCGCCAACTATAATACTGCAAATGGAAATAAAGTTTTCTTTGTCAGAGTGTTCTGGACTGAACTGATGAGAATGAAGGCCAATAATGAAATAAGTACATGCATTACTAAATTAATGGTTATAAATAGTGTTGTCTATCAAAGCCTTTTTAATGAATGTGGTTTTAATATGCTGTGCATTTAGCTAAAAGGTGCATGTTTACATTTTCTAAGACAGCCAGGCCTTAATCACTTTGTGCCTACATATGGCCTGTAGGCAGTTCTAAATTTGTTCATGGAGTATGAAAAACTTCAGGTAAGAAAATAATGATGATTTCAGAATTTCTACTAAAACATTTGTGCACATGGTTTAAGCACAGATTTGTGCGTACACACTGTTTAGGGACGAAGTCTGTTGTCTTTAAAGTTATAAACTAACACTGCATGTGCTGTTGGAGAAATCAGAAAGATACCTGAACGCCCCCTTGTGTTGAAACAACCACTCAGAAAGTTAGCAAAATTTATTAGTGTGTTAAGTTTTTGACTTGACTTGGTGGACCAAAGTAAATGTTGATTGGCTGATGGCAATAATCTCTTGTTAGGACACTTATTGCATTTCAGTTTTTGGCACATGCAATGTGTAATATTGTATGGAGCATGTGAAGCAGCATAACCTTTAGTATCTTAAATTGTGGGGATGGGTGTATCAGCTCCTCAAATCTAAATGGCCTTTTATAATAATGGTGGCAGGTTTACTGATCCCAAAACTTACTAATTTTTTAAGAAGTGGCTCCAGATTTCAGACAGAAGTCAACAAAAGCAGGCATTTCATTTCTAGCCAGCATCTATTGAATTTTGTGGGTGAAATGAACTGTTTGTGACCAGCGAGCCTTGCTTTCTGTCCATGCTGAATCTGTTCAATATGCACTTCTGGTACGTCATGTAGACAAACCACGAAGGCTAACTATCAGCTGTGTGTTTCACTGGAGACGTAACCACTTAAGACTGTCGAGTGCTTTCTGTCTTTCTATACTTCTATACTTTTTAAACAGAAAACACACTTTTTATATTGTGATATTTGCAGTAGTAGTTAAATGAGGAGGTGTTTTGTTGATAAATTCCTCATTTCAGCTTTAGGAATCAGCTGTTGTGGAGCTTTCAAAGTGAATGACGGCAATACATTGAAACAGGACGTCCGACAAACAGTGCAACTAAACTGATGCTTGCTCGGGTTGCATTCAGTTAGGACACTGTGTCAGAGCAAATCAAACCAAACCAAATAAAGTAATCCCTTTAAGTTATCCATTTTTAAAGATAGTAAATTAATCAAGATACCACTATGTTAAAATGTAACTGTGACAGAATACAGTTACACATATTTTGTATGTTAAAGACTTCCCTTTAATTACTTCCTGCTATACAGCCATGTGTGTGTGCGCTGCTCTTAGACACACAGTTTATTTTGCTCCACAGTCAACAACATAAACAGACTCCTATCCTGCTTGCATCCTGATGCAAAATCATCAAAATAGGATGTGAAGTCAGCAAAGTAGGTGACTACTTTCTCAGTAGAATATACATGGCCTTTAAACGACCATAATTTTGCAGACGTTATACATTTTAGTCCTTGTTACGCACAGATCTGCATCTTTCAGCTGCAGAGAAATCCACTGACTTAGTTCCATCTGCACTAACAGGCCCATTTATTCAAACCTCTGACTTCTTGATCCAACTGGGATCCCAAAACGGCATATTGACTAAAAACTGAAATAGAGAGGAGAGATGATTTTCTATTAAGTGCTGGGAACTGAGGGAATTCACAGCTTTTCTGTTATACACAGACAAAGATTTTCAGCTAAAGCTAAATAATTTACATTAGTTTATCAGCTAATTTCTGTCTGAATGTAAAGTGTAGCATATGTTGTTGTACAGTTTCCCTGTGTATCCAGCTTCTCATACTTTGAGGCTAGCAGCTCAAGGCTGTGTTGGTGGCTACTGTCATAACATATCCAAATCTCTGACTGAGCTATTGGCAGTCAAGTTGCATTGTGGATAATGTGTGTGACAGGATTTGAAAATGAGGAATAATAATATAGAATATTTTTTCTTATTATCCATTACTCGAAATGAGCATCTTTGCTCCTATGTTTTTCTTTTGTTCATTATTGTCCTGCTCATCCTGTTGTCACATTTCTATTATTATAATCACAGTGGTTGGTAGTAACACATGTACTTACTCTGTTACTTGAGTAGTTTTTTTTTCATCTAGAAATTGTACTTCTAAGACTAGTTGTTTTCCAAAATACTTTTTACTTTTACTCAGCTACATTTGTAATAAAACATAATGTACTATGTTAAATTGGACATATCTCCCTACTTTGCAGCTAGATATGATATACGAGAGAGGAGAGGGAGAGATGCTGCACTGCTGCCAGAGGAGCCCCTGAATGAGTTCAGTCTTAGCGGTAAGTCACTAAAAGAGTCTGAGCCTGTTCATAACACATTCAGGACGCCACAGTTTATTCCAAACTACTGAAGCTGCTCCTCTTTTTTAGAACCACTGTGGAGTCTGTAATAATTTCACTTTCAGCCATGCTTGTTATTGCTGTGGGTAACAGTATGACATCAATATGTCAACAAGCTGAAATATCGCGAGTAACACAATATAAATTTTTCCTATATTAAAAAACGAGATTGCATGCATATCGTGTTTCCTCCTGCTCCTAAGACAACTGACAAAAATGATAGCAATAATGTGAACCATACTGCTGTAACATAACAGACTGTTAGCATGCAAACCTCTAGCTGCCTCAGCTTTCAAAGAAATCTTTCGACAACTGCCAGTAGCCAGAATGGTCCGCAGAGGCTGTTTTATTTTCTATTTCAAATGTATAGTGTGAGCACTCAGGGCGTGATGATCAGACTGTACAGTGTAAGCACAAAAATCGTGGGAGTTCAATCTCAGAGTGTAAGCCCAGCTTTACTGATACATTTAGTTGTAAATAATTTTTATGTTCAGCTGAGCGCACATGCATGACAGCGACTTTCTGTCAGTGAGCAATAAGATAAGCCTGCACACACACAAACACACACACATTCTTGTACTTCTATCTTTGTGAGGCCCCATGTCAACACAATGCATTCCCAAGCCCCTTATCCTACCCTTAACCATCACAATTAAATGCCTTACCCTAACCCTTACCATGCCATGCTATGCATTTTAATCCAAATCTAACCTAAACATAATTCTAACTGAATTCTAAAACCAAATCTTAACCCTCAAACAGGCCTTTGAAAAAATGACAAAATGTCCTCACTTTGCAGAAATGTCCTCACTCTGTGGCTAAAATACATTCTTTGGTCCTCACTGTGTAGCATGTACAAGTACACACACACACACACACACACACACACACACACACACACGATGTAGACTGCATCCAAGCCTCTCCTTTTAGGATTGAGGAACCCCTGTGTTACGGCCGCTGGGGATTACATAGCACTGAACATCACCTGTTTTGTCATTTGTCTGGTTATGGAGAGCACTTTAATGACAATGACCGTGCACTTCACATTTTGTATTGCCTGTTGAGGACCTGTTTGAAAGAAATACATTGATGTAATAAGCTACATCTTAGGGTGCTTTCAGACCTTGGTCTGAATCAGGGACTTTTTTTTTTTTTTTACAAAGTTGCATAATTGCCTAGAGTTGGTTAGCATTTACAAACAGACCAGATAAAATGTCTTACACAAGAAAGCTGCTCTTGTTTGTTCAGAATTTCCATGTGGGAAAAATCCAGGAAGTAAACAAAATGTTGAAGAAGAGTACACTTGCAAGATAAATGTGACACTTTCTAATGTCACAATGGAGGGACAACTACGCAGGTTGATTTTAGCTCTGTTCATCGTGGACTATATTGCTGACATTGTTCATTTTAGGCAAACCATACAGTTTGAAAACGAGGCACGGCTCCAACTAGAAAACAATGTTTTGATGCATTGGATGTGCTGAATGTGCATATTAAGGCAGTGCAGGAGGAGGTGCACATTAATAATCCTCCAGGACTGTAACATGCTCATGTTTAACACAAACAATGTCTAATGTGACTGCAGTTGGTTCGGATCGAGGTCGAAACACGTTCTCACCACAAACGAACTGCACCAGAGTTTGATCGTAACCAGACCGTAGCCACCTCTTCAAGAAGGTCTCGGTCTGATTGTTTCGGTCTGTACCCGAGTGTGATTGCAGTGTTCATACCTGCCCAAACGAAGCACCCTTAGGGGGCAAACAAACCTGAGTTCCATTGAACCACACCAAACAAATGACTCACAACTATACTATTTTAGTCTTACTCAAGTAGTTATTTTTATGAGTAGTTTTGGAGTCTTTATAGTTTTACTTTAACTTGAGTACCATTTTGTTTATTACACCCACCACTGCATGATCATAACATCAGAGTAGAGACTGTGTGGGCTACAGGCATGCACAGATATGAACACACATACATTTTTTACATGTGTGTTTACTGTTGTACGTGCTTATCAAGAGGTTATGCAAACTTCCCTCACATGCTGCCGCTGCTTGATACTCTCTGCGCTGGGCTGCAGTGCTCCTCAGGGGATGAGACAGACCCAGAAAGGCATTATCACCTTTCTGCCAAAGCATAGAAATTCAATGAATTATTTACGTTACAGCAGGCAGGCCCCAAGACAGCTCAGAGACTGAACAACACAGGATTCAGTTAGGGAACCTCAAGGCCAGGGGCCAGCATGGGAACCGGGGGGGGAATCAGTTGGGATCCTGAGGTAACGAGCGAGGGGAAATTAAATGACAAAAAGGGAGAAAGGAGCTGTAGGATCAGGGGAATGGAGCGCACGTTCATACACAGATTCATTCAATGTGTATGTTCATGCAAGTGTTTGCCACGGATGTCACACACACACGCACAGATAAACTCACATAGGAATACACATTTACCACATCACTGACTCACGTTTCCTGTAAACATACACATCTAACACACATAAACAGATATCTAAGAATACATATAATAAGTTGCAGGGTTCTGCACACACTCACGCACACGCACACCCCAACTATCATCAATCTCAGGCTTCAGAGCCGCTCTCCCCTTGAGTCCATGGCTCTGTTTTTGGCTCTTTCTCCTTGCAGGTAGGAGGTCTCCTGATACTCACCACTGGGTTAGCTCACTACACATTAATGCAACATACTCCCGCATTAAGAACCCTATATCTGCCTCTGCTCCTTTTTCTCAGCACCACAGAGTGCACCTATAAAACTAAATCCAATCTCTGCGTGTACGAGTACACCTAAAAGACTGATGGTGAATCACGGTTCAGGTCAGCTTATCTTTTTTTTCAAATTTGAATAAGACATCAGATGTATTGTTTGTGACTGTGCTGTGTTTTCATCTAAATGTGGACTGACTCACAAGCCAGTGGAAGCATATTCCATGTTCAAGGACCACACTCGATATCCCTGTGGGATATTTCAAGGGGTTTCTTTCTCTTTCTGTGCAGGGTTTTTACACTGCTGGCCCATCTTCAAAGCTCTCAAAGCCAAAACAAATATCAGAAATTCAAACAGGGGGGCATCGATGGGGGTTGCACCATTTCCTATCAAAGCAAAATAGAGAGAAATATGTGATAACCTATTTGGGTTTCTACCAAAAGCTCCCCCACTTTTTTTTCCCCAAGCAGCTCTCAAAAACAAGGTGACCTGTGTTGTTTGCTTGTTGTGAAATCAGGACATGAAACAGCATCCAAATGTTTGTGAGAGATACACAGTCAAGTCTATATTGTGCCAAATTAATTCTAAGTAATTAAATGTTGCAGAAAAAAAAAAAAAAAAAAAAACTATTTAGGAATTGACTCAGTGCCAAGTTCATCAGACGGCTAAATGAACGACATTTCAGAATCCTCTGATTAATTACACAAAAGTCTGTCCACAACATGCACTAACAGAAGCACAGACAGATACAGGAAATGTTCATGTCAATGAGGCCAGTAAATAAATAAACTACAGTATATGTACTGGAAAGTACATTTACAGAAGTACTGTACTTCAAGACACTCCATGCTATATTCAGAGTGTATTTAGGCAGTAAGCTGGCAGCTAACAATGTTAACAGCGCAAACAGTGCTGACAGAACTAACTGTGTTAACTTGGGGAGGAAACAGAGAGTGGGCGGTATGACGATGACAACCAGATATAAGTGATAACAGCCATATGAGTGCTGTGCAAAGTGACGGCAATTAGCTAGGCCAGGGGTCAGCAACCTTTATGATCAGAAGAGCCATTTTTGACTTAAAACAACAGAAAAAAAATCTGCCTGGAGGCATAAAACATATTTGAGCATTATAAAGAAGATAACACAGCCTATATAGTCTAAAGTAGCCCATCAACGTAACTAATAGGTCTAAATCCATTAATATCTTTTTGGCTCCTCTGCAGTGGGCTATTTATGATTATTAACTTTGCAGCATTGGCGGTGAAAGCAAATGAATCTGTCCACACACTATTCAATTTTGTAATTAGTCTCTAAGACTTGCTTTAAAAATTTGGAATCCATATCTAGTTAGTGGTACTCAAGACTAGCCACTGCTATTGAGGTTTGGCAAGATTTAGAGGAAAAGGTGCCAGACTGTAGATGTAAATTTTAGTTGATGAGATATTAAGACATTTTAATTCGGTGAATAGGCTACACATTTTTCACTACTGGTGATTGGGATAATTTCTTTAGACATACAACCCTGATAAATGACAATTAGAATGTAAAAAAAAAATACATAATATAATACATAAATAACTTATTCATTTCCATATTTTTTTTTTTTTTTTTTTTTTTTTTGGTCAAAGCCACATGGAGCAACTGGAGATAAGATAAAGAGCACGCGCAGGTTGCCAACCCCTGAGCTAGGCCATGGGATACACACAAGGGCTCCATACACTAGCATGCACACATGGCAGAACCGGCTATCACGGCAGCGGACAGAGAAGCTTGGATGACAACACAAACAGATGTAGCGTGACTTCATACTCTCAGGACGCCATTACTCAACTCTGTTTTTACATAGTAAATATTTGTTTGCTGTTCTGAACATCATAGCACTCCTTAAAGTACAGTTTTTAGGTAATTGTACTTTCATTGAGTATTTTCTAGTAATACTACTTTATAGTTTTACTTTACGATATCACAGAGAAAAATATTTTACTTTTCACTCTACTACATTTTTGTAGCAGTTATTGATATTGATATTGATAACATTACAAAACATATGATAAATTAAAAAAATTAAATGCATTATTATGGATTAAAGGCCAAACATACCTACACAGGTGTTTTCACCTATTGTGGCTGTGGCTGATCATGAAACTCCCGCTGGCTAAGCTGGTTACATTGGGTTTAGCACTTTGCTAACATGAATAGGAATAAAATGATTG